AACTCACACAGTCAAGTAAAGACAAAATATAAAGCCAATTAGTGCAAACAACAATCATCCCACAAACTATTTTCTCCGTTCATGTAATGAATACGACTGCATGTTATATTCAGTACCATTTGTGTACGGAATAGTCTGATCAGCATCGAGGAAATACATAAGACTTTATGCTTACTATTTACTTGAGAGCCTTTATGATTACATAAAGAAGGAAACGCTTTAATGTATTATCTTCACATCTTCGCTAATATAAATCAAAATTTTGTATAAAAGTAATTTCCATCGTGCAGTAAATACCAGCGCTTAGATAGAACAAGTTGAAAATAATAAATACCAGCGCTTAGATAGAACAAGTTGAAAATAATAAACAACTTGATACGCACAATTTTCATGAAGTATAAATGAATGAAAATTGATAAGACGGAAAGTTATTTGCTCTATCAATTTTAACAAATTAACTTTCAAATTAACTAAAGAAAGTAACTTCGACAAATTAAATTTTCAGAAGGAATTAGTAAGAGTTTTTGGAAATTTCTTATACAAATACTTCAAAATAAAATTATTACAATAGGAAAACCGTACCTATTAATGATTGAAAAAGGGCTCCCTTGAAGTTGTTAATAAGCTTTTCGATTTGTCGTCTTAATTCCGCCGAACTAGCACTCACCAATGAGGCATGATACTCTTCAAGTTGTTCCAATGCGCGATGCGCTTCTAAAAACTTTTTCATGCTCATAAAACTGTACCGTAGTTTTTTAATTCTTGACAGATAACCCGATATCAATATGAAACAATAAATACCTCATTTCATTCCATAACTTCTATTCAAGACCATTTAGTAGAATTCAATGAAAAAAAAAGCGTCTATATCATGGAACAAACCTCCTGTTCTGCGAACCGGCATATCCTTGCCAGTTAACGCTTACACGACACCTTCGAATACTACCAGTAACTAAAATTAAATTAAATTTTGATGAAAAAAAGAGCAATTCTCGCAATATTTGAATATAAGCGCAATAGTATACTGATAACTAAGTTTTTAGGCACTCTTCGTCCAACGTCCAAAACGAATAATTAATCATCGTTGCATTACAAATCCAGAAAATGAAGAAATAAAGCCAAAAGAAAACCTTCCACCACATGACGTAGTGTCACGGCAAAGACAAACAAGTATTAATCTAAAAGTGTGAGGAAGTTAATTGTGTATCAAAAATTAAGATTTTAAGCAAAGAAGGGATATCATCTTAACAAAGGCTCTTTTCATCACTGGAATCAGTCACATTTCCATTCGTTTAGCATTAGATCAGTTTTTTCGCACGATACCTACCATTTTACCGCTTTCTTTCTACATTATATGCTTTATGTTTAGCTCTTAATCCAAATTTACATGTCACAGTTTTCTAACTGATGCATTACATTTAATTACTTCATTACCTATTGGAACCAATAATTCGTACTTGATTTATTTAATTTGAATTCTGATTAATGAAGCGATTCACACTTCTTTCGGAATGCTACTTTGGACTATGTGAATATTACTTCATCAATAAGTATAATGAACAAACAAAACTGACGCGGGTACATACTACATATTACTGCAAAATTTAAAGAGATAATTTTGAATTAAGCAAATCATAGCAACAGCAGTAGCACCGATGATACCAAAGAATGAATAAGACAAGAAAAAGATTAATTGGCATGACGTAAGCCTAAGAGAGAGAAGGGAAAGAGAAAGGGAGAGAGAGGGAAGAATGCATGGTTTTTAATTAAAAAATACATATTAAAACAATCATAAAAAAACTACAAAATGGTTAATAATATTCCATTACTGTAATATATGAAGAATGAAACCGAAATAATATCCGTTCGTTATGCGATGCAATGCAAAATTCCTAATCATTCAAATATTAAAGTTCAAATTGATTTTCAATTGATTAAACACATCCTGAAAAACAATTTTAATCTTCCAAAGTGCTACTTCAAGAATATTTTTAAACTAATCTTGACAAATCTGAAATCATAACATAGTCCAGTTCACTAAGCAACCGAAGTAATCATTGCTGAAAGAATATTTTAAACGATCTCTATTTGCTTTTCTGTTTTAGTATCCATTCCCTCATCCTAAAAAAAAAAAGAATAAAATAACCACAGAATTCGGAAGCGATTCATAAAGCCCCTTACAGAATTTGAAATTGTTGAACGTATTAGCGATTTGTACATAAGCCTGCTGCTTAGCCATCATTTCTCCCTTTTTCCATGGGTCTCTAGTGTCCCCTTTTTTATTTTGACTCTTTCACTCTTGATTACTATTAATTACTATTTCCAATAAAATGTTACCTTGTAGGCTTACCAACCACTACCAGTCTTCAGTTGTGTTATCTAATTTCTACAGAAAGTCATCATCTCTTCTTATCAGCTTCCACTATCTTCTAAACCAATTGAACAAAATTCCTTCAATCCCTGGCAATATCGCGCACCTTATCAGTTTTACAACTTGTTTGCTGTGTTATCTAATTATGTTTACAAACATTCGTAAAGTAGTATTGACTTCCATTTTAAATTTCTTGGCTTTATTTCCTGATAACTGAACTTCTTGATTTTTGGTGATATCCTTCTATTTATTTGAACCTTTCCAGACAAAATGTTAAGATCAAGAATCACGGAAGTATTGTTGGATCTATTTGGATATTTGACATACAACATGTATTTCCCCATGTAATCAACGTAAGTTCCAAATCAGTTTCGGCTAGATACAAGCTTCTCTATTGGGATGTGAGTTTAAAATAAATGGTATCTATCGGATGAGTAACAGGTGATTCATACCATAATAAGATGACCAGTAAAGAATAATTGATTGATTGGAAATAAAACGGGATAAATTTTATGATAAAATAAACAATCGAAAGAGGAAATGAATGACGGAAGAAATATATAGGTAAGGTATGTGCCAAAGAGAATAGACAAACTGAGAAAGATCATCAATTCCAGTAAAGAGAATTGTTGCGACACACGGCAGGTGGTATCGATAACTGCAACATTCTGATTTAAACAGATGAAATTTCAATAAATGTAGAAAAGGAGAGAGAGAGAGAGGGAAAATGTAATGGGTAAATGCCTAATAACAACTTTCTTCTCAGTGTCTTGAAAGGATGGAATTTAATGAAAATATAAAAAGTCCCATTTAACTAAACATACAATTAATTAATGACTTATCTATCATTAAAAATACTCAATGTGGAAATAAAAGCAATGTTATCACACACTTCACGGTGGAATTCGCTTATCATTACTGATATGATTAGATTGCTTAATTTGTAATACTTTGATGTTCTAACTTGTCCCTTTTTCACCTTTTCATACTGGTTGAATGGACGTCGGTGATATTAAGTATTATAGGTTCATTTACTTCCTAAAAAATTCGTATCGGTGATAGCAATATCCCAGTAATGATGGCTAATAAATAAACATATCAAGAAATGATAGAATATTAAATTGATAATTACTGATATCTATAATGACGACTAGAAGTTTCCATTTTATTAAGCACACAATTAACTGAATAGATGGGCGCTTAATCGTTTATCATTTGAAAAGATAAGTGATTAAGCGTTTCAAAATTTATGAGAATTTTCCGTATTTTCTCCTCTTTCTTTCAAAAGAGCATAAATCGTTTAAAGAAAAAAGAGAAAGCCCATACATTAAATACGAATGTATGAGAAGTGTAATAGGGAATGATTAATCCGTTTAGTGCCTATAGACGACAATTGTCATTTAAAAAGTATCGAGTGATTAGATTGAATCCATAATAGGGAGGGTTAGCATTAGATGGAAATGGGAAATGAATGGTAGTATTTAGTATTGGAAATGAAATTCCATTCAAATAATTGATATCTTTGTCCGTTTTGTATGGGAAAATTTAGCGAACGAAATGGAATGTGTATTTGGTTGAATGAGTCATCGGAAAATACACAAACGGACACAGACATACACAATTTCAGATGGACAGGTTTGTTTACATACAACCACATACACATATGCACATACACGCACAAACACACACATACACAAGACAGACATATATATATATATATATATATATATATAGAGCGACAGACGAAATTTTCTTGCATGCACCAGAACATATGTATGTGTATGTGTGTGTACGGTATGTTTGTATTTCATATGTAATGGTAGGCTTTCATTAACATTTGTTCATACGTATACATATAAATAGTACGCATAAATCGGTTTATAAAGATTTTGTGATGAAATGATAATTTGAGTACTTATAGATCAACAATCAACTCTAAATGAAATGAATTAAATTGGATTGAACTAAAAAGGATTGATAGGCAAAAAAGCTCATTTTCGACAAAATGAGACAGATTCCGATAAAATAAAGTGAAATGGATTGAATTTGTCAAAAATAATCCGGTAAATTCCATTAAATTGGAATTTTCAATCGTTAAAAGAGTTTAGAGATATGGACTTTAGCAAATTTAAAGTTTTGCTTTTGAATGATGTTTTATTTTCCTCAAAACGATCAGGTATTCTTTAAATTCTAAATAAATTTTGAACTTTCATTTACCAATTAATTGTTGAACAACACGCCTATCTGTAGGTCTTCAAAATAATTTCAAGATCGATAAGTACAATTACTCCAAGCAGTTTAACAGATGTTGAAGTTCCATTTAGAGACAAATTATGCAGGAATTTCAGTTAAGAATTTGAGTCGAATATTACTACCAAATATTATTGTATTCGTTTCTAAGTGTATTGTGAATTTAACTCACATACGTTTCAAGTTACTTTTCAATATTCAGAGAAATTCATTGTTTAGGTGATAAAGTAACACATAAGCAGACGCATTACATGGATCTCATAACGTTATATGTCACGTAAAATATCAATACAGAGTAATACAATGCAATATACATCACGTTGTTCAAGTAACGCAACCAGCCAATTATTGATATAATCATGGCAAAACTTCACTAATTTATCAAAAAAGTTGACCAAATGCAAGTTATTCCCTCAAATGTTATTATCAGAAATAGAATGAATCCTTTGGGTTGACTTTCTCACTTATCATCATATCATTTGAGATCTGATCATGTAATCAAAAATGATAAATTTCACATTATTAATGTTTAAAAAGATGAAGAAATGTTTGCTGTAAGATGGAACAATCGAAATAAAAGCGATAAAGTGGAATTGAGAGGGGAAGATTGAGGTGCAAATGGGGAGACGGGAGGGAATGGAGACAGAAGATTTGAGGCAGTGGACGGTGCAAGGTCACTTGTAATCTATGAAAGGAATTATGGAAAGGTAGCAAGACAAAGAGTTAAGGTGGAATGGGAGGTGACAGTTTGACAAACGGGTCAGATTGGAGTGTCACCCCTCCTTTTTCCATCGTTGTCTTCTCGACCTTCCTTTCTGTTGTTTATAGTTGTTGTGGAATCTTTATGTGCATGTCACTTCTCTCATTCAACTCTATTACCTTTTCTCATTAACTGAATATCCCTCTTCCTTACCTTTACTCATATCTTTGTCAATTGCTGCTTACTACCGCAGTTACCGCTTATAGATTGACGAAGAGCTACCATACCTAATTAAAATGAAAGTGAGGGGATAGAAGAATCAAAGATAGGACACAATTTGCTCAATCTCGACAAATCACAATTCTTAATCTTCCTTATATTTACTTAGATATGATGGTATTTGGTGTACCAAAGGAATAAAATTTACAAATGTAAACTATCACATATAATGCCGGGAATGCGGTACTTTAAGGGAATTTCTTCTTTAGCAACGAATTCTATTGATGAGAATTGAAATGGAAAAGTTCCTTTTCCTCTTTTACAGCTTATCACTGATTGAGGAATGGATTATTTTGAAATGAAATACTCTGAATATCATTGTTGAACTGTGAAATTATCCATTCTTCTTTATCTTTAATT